ACACCCGCGGGGCGCGAAGCCAGCCCTGGCCCAGCCGCAGTGGGTGCCCTGGCTGCTCCCGCTCCTGCCCTGTGCTAGCCGTGCTCCCCCGGGTGCGGTGCCGTGTGCTGCCCCTGCCACAGGCACGTCCCGCGGGCTCGGGCTTCCCCGGCACCAGCACCTGCACAGGTGGCCCTGGGCTTCCTTGGCCTGCGTCCTGCTGCCACCCAGCACTCACCAGCCCTGGCATTTGGGCTCACAACTGTTTCCGAAGCTGCCCTGGAAGCTAAACCTCGATCTAGATTTAGAACACTTCCCATATGTTTTCTTTTGTTGTTTTTTTTTTTTCCCTTTGGTTTCATTTTTGTGACACTTTGGACTGGGCAGTCACTGCAGCGTGAGGCCGGCAGTGAAAACATGGAGGAGGCAAGGCAAGGGCTGCCCAGCTTGACTTCTCATCAGAATCCTTAACCTTTAGCTCCATCCCCGCACACTGTGGGAGCGTGGAGCCGGCGGGCTCGTCTCTATCCATCTGCTTTGGCATTCTCCGCATTACCTCAATGCTTGGGATACTTTTGGCTTTCCAAAGCATGAAAATGTTGTATCTGCATCTGCTGAGGATCATATTTTATTATCTGACACTCTAGTGAAGAGTATACCTCCAAATACTTTCAATTTTCCACCCATTCGAGGCATATAAGCTAGGGCATCATTATTAATTGTAATGCTAGGATTTTTATTTGAAAAAATCTTTTAAAAGCATCAAAATTTTCCCAGTTCTGTCCCCAGTGCACAAACTAAGTAGCATAAGAAAAAGAAAATATGTTCAACAGGCAAAGCAAGTTGCTTTTTATTCATATTTAAATGCATTTTTTATTACCATGGTGGCAATGAAAAGGGTATTTCAGAGCCTCAAGTCAGAGATTAAAGCATGACTCCTGTGGGACTTAAGTACAAAATGCAAAGGTTTATGGGGTCACAGGTAGTTTTTAAAGCAATCTCTAGTATCCTGAGGCTGATTTCCTTGGGATGTCTATGGAGTGGATGGAGGGAGATGATCACCTTTATAGTCATCCTGAGGAGCCCAGTTTAGGTATCCTGATCTGTCCTGTGGGAGAGTCTTTCTCTCCACTGGAGAAAGGAGAGTGAAGAAGCTAGAGCTAAACTTTTAAAAATAGCTCTCTGAGTCATAGATCAGGAAATATTGAAGTTTTCCTTATTTATTTTTTTAAAGATAATGACTGCATTTACAAGGTAATCGTATCCTAAGTGAAATGAACTGAGATATGGAGAAGCACAAAAGATAAGCACCCTGTTAACAGGAAACCCTTCTTCCTTGCTTTCCTTGAGAGGGAAAGAAATAGCAAAGACTAAATGATCTGTGGGTCTTCAGTAGGAAGGTTAAATTTAAAAAGCATTTAACATCAAAGCATCATAGGAAACAAAAGCAAAACATTAGGGTTTTGTCATGTTGCTCTGCTCAGTTTTTTTTACGTAGGCAATTTTTATTGTTTTGCCTTCCCTTCCCTCGTCTTCCTTTCCCTTCCAGCGAGACCTGGCTCCCCGGAAAGCAGCAGCTTTGCATGTCAGGCTTGTATGTACAGAGCCATAGCATCTGTATTCCTCCCAGAGCAAAAAGGCAGTGCAAAGAAAATAATGAAAAAATCTCTTTTTGGCATGTAGAAGAAAATGATTGCAATTAAACCTTTTTTTTTTCAAAAAAATGATATGTTTAGCCGCTTTGTTTTCTTATGTTTAGATATTTTTCCTTGTCTTTCATACATGTCTTTTTTTGCATCCTATTTTAGTGATAGTGAGAAATTGAAGCTGGCAAGTAGCTTGAAAGTTTTCTGGGGTGTACAACACAGAAAATTTCTTCACTTCAGCTTTTGCTCTGTGTGTGTAGCTATAGATATGTAAGTCAAACCAGAGGTGTAGTGGTTATGCAGATCCATTAATTGATTGCCTGGCAATCAGCAAAGCCCGCTGAGTATTTAAAATCAAAATTTATTAATATTTTGAAGAAATTCCTCTTTATATATGTACATATCAGATATCCACAGCTACATGTACTCATTGCTGTTTTGTGTTCTTTGTCTGAAAGAGCTCAGGTTTGAGATTTGGAGAGACTTGAGGGCTTCCAGAAGCAGTATTTTGTACCAGTGCATGAAAAAGTGCAGAGAGATTTCTGGAAAATTAATGTAGAGCCCAAAGGGGAAAGCAGAAAAATAGACTTTCCCAAATAAACTTGGATTATAATGCTGTGATACATTGCCACTACATTTGTTAATGTCACATGTTCCAATGCCAGCCTGTATTGAGTACGACTACAATTTAACAGGCATCTGCAGCAGCTGACCTGCTCTGTGAAAGTTGCTGTGGATCCAGGCAGCCTTTAAGCAGCAGAGCAACGGCCTTTGCTGCTGCCATCTCTGCTGCGCTGGATGGAGGCACTTCCTCCTTCCGCGGCTCCTTGTGCCGCTTCTACGGGAAGAGCATGGGGCTGCACAGGCTGCCCCCGGTTGCTGCCTGTCCTGTCCCTGCCCTGTACCGTCCCGTCCCATGTCCCTTCCCGAGGCAGCTGGAGGCGCTGGGAGAAGCCGGTGCCTGCCTGGGCCCAGGGCTCAGCTGCTCCGGGCGCTCTGGACAGGCGGCCGGCTGCTCCCCTGCACGTTTCAGCCTTCTCTCGGCTTCCCTGCCGGTGTTGGTTCCTTCTTACAGGCACCCCGTGTTCTTCTGAGTCCCTCACCAGGCTTTTCAGACCGATTGAACATAAGCACTATCCTTAAGTGATTTTGCAGTGCATTTCATTTGGTGTCACTCTTGTGAGAAATAATGGTAGCACTGTTAGTATTTTTAATGATGTAAGAGCACTAGATTCTGGCGTGGCTTTTGGAAAGGACTGCCATATATGTGTAAGCAGGGATGGAAAAAACACTTTCCTAATGCCTCTTCTTGTGGGAATATGCAAGCAGTCTTGAAACAAATTCAAACCACAGAAGTGAAAAAAAAAGTTTTACTTTAAAGACACGGAAGTCATCAGAACTTTAAGACAACTACAGTCTTGTGGCTATCTTTATAGCCCTGCTTGGCAGGAAACCACATAACTTAGTCTTGAGATGTGCTGTGTATCCTGAGCTGTTATGCATTTCTGGCCCTTGCTAGTTGAGTACATTTTTAAAAAGTAAATAATATTGGGAAATTTGAGAAACTAGGCACTAGACAATGAGTGACATTTCATTTTAAAAAAACAGTTTAATTGGGATGTAGACTTCTAAGTCATTTAACAGTTCTTATGTCTATTGCTCGATTTTCAGTTTCTACTTCAAACAGCTTATGACATGTGTTTCCTTAAAATATTATTATTTTCAGTTCCTTTGTATTTGAAAACAGAAAGGCTACCATCATTCAGACTTTCAACACATATTTTCCCTCAGGCTCAGTCTACAAAAGTCAGCCTAAAAGCTGAAAGTTTGAGACAGTTATAGCTAGCTGCATAGAAGCCTGTTTAAAATGGAAGTGCTGAGGTTACCTTAACCTCAGTAATGCTTGCTCTTACTGCCAAGATAGCAAAAGCATGAGTTTGTTGAAAAAATGAAGCCAGATGAATGCTATGTGTATAAATACTTATCCTGAAAATATAATGAATGAGATACAAAATATTATTTATATAAACATTCACTTAAAGAAAGAGAAAACTTAGGAAGCACATTCTAAAAAAAATCTCTCATAACTCTTTTTGCACTTTAGAAATTGTTGATGGCAATGTGAAAATGACACTGGGTATGATCTGGACTATTATCCTTCGCTTTGCTATTCAGGATATTTCAGTGGAAGGTAAGAGTAATGCAACTATCTTAAGTGATTAAGAAAAATATATAAATCGGAATAAACACTTAAATATTATCAAAGTATTTTACAATTTTATTGACTATTGCACAATAACCCTTTCTTAAAGATTTTTTTAGTTTAAATTGTGCAAAAGTGATATGAGCATTATAAAAATGATTTTCTTTACAGAAAAAAAGATATTGCAAGTTTCCTGCCTCATGTTCATTTATCTTCTTCTTTACGCATATCTGATTATATCCCTTTTCCTACTAAGCTGTTGCTCAGCTTTTTCTACTTTTTCAGTGATGTTTGGATTATTTAACTTTTACTTATAACTGGCTCCAAAAAGTGTTGTAGTTAAAATACTTTTAAAATGAGGACTGTGTTATGAAAAGTCTTAAAATTTTAGAAACTAAATTTAACTTTCAATGAAAGTAAGTTCAAGCTTTGAATAATGTCTCAGGACATAAATCATGGACTATGTGATCATTGCAAACCCTTACTCTTACATTCGGATGGTCACAGATTGCAGATAATCAAGTTATTTCTTTGGCATTTATGCTTCTCCATAAATGTATGGACCAAGACTACAAGCCTATTTCAACTAGGCACCAACATGATCTTCTATGCCTAATTCATTTTTATGCTTAATATATTTGTATTAGGCATTTTGCTTCAGGTGTGCATTCTAATAATAAGGCATGCATTCAACTAATAGAATTTGCTTAAACATCTAATATCTCAGAATTACTGTGCAGCCTGAGATTCCAGTTTCAGAGTTGTTCCAGGTGATCTGACTTCTGTGTCTCCATGGGAGTCTCATTAGTCCATTTGCATGAGTATCTTTTAGGATTAAATGTTAGCTTATGCTAACTAGTTTCAGGTTGTGGACCTTGTTTAAGATAAGAAGGTATGAATTACTTGACCATTTCTTATGTTTTTCCTTTTTATACTCCCCGGTGTCTTTTACAGAGACTTCTGCCAAAGAAGGGCTGCTGCTGTGGTGTCAAAGAAAAACTGCTCCTTACAGAAATGTGAACATTCAGAATTTCCATCTTAGGTAAACTTCCATCATTTCAATGGCAAAAACAGCAACTGAAAATATTTGGGGTGAACTTTTTTCCACAGTTGTGTAGATATATCTGAGAGCAATATTTTACTCTTCACTATTAACCTAAACTTTTCTTCAAATTGTGTAGATATATCTGAGAGCAACATTTTACTCTTCACTGTTAACCTAAACTTTTCTTCAAATTATCAGCCTCTGTCTTCAGAGTCTTGCTTCGCCTAGCCTTCTTCATTATTTACCATGGCTTTTGTAGTTATTATGTAAAAGAAAAAAATCCCCACCCACACAAAACAAGCATATTACATTATTAGAGGCCCAGGTATATGCAAACGTCTCAGTACCACAGCACAGTAACGTAGCAAATGCCACTCCAAATGACTACATAGTAGATATGGACTATCGTCAGCAAAATATCAATTTGATGAAAATGCAAAATATCCTACTACAATAAATCAGTCCTTTTGACTTTGTAACAGACAGAAATAAGAAGCTGCAACCCTCCTACAGCATTTCTAGCAAAAGCTCTGTATTAGAGTTTTGAATTCATTCTTAGTGTGCAGCAGCTAAAGATCATTCTCCATTTAGTGAAAGAGATTATATAATTCACACATCCATACACAGATAAAAAGAATTTGGTGACTTACTGTAGAACATTTAAGAGATCTGACAGTTGATATATGGTATTTTCCTTGAATATATAGAAATATCTTTCAGAATAAATACTTCTGGTTAAAAGGATCCTCTTATAATCTTTGCAAATAGATAGCTCATATCTCATAGCTCCTTTCATTGCCTTTTATTGCCTCTGAAGTTAGTGAGTACTAAGACTTGAAGTCATATTGAAACATCAGAGCTCAGTAGTATGAGAATCTGACCTGTCATATGTGTAGTGTTTTTAATAAGCTAAGCTAATTTTCAACTTCATACATCTGGTTGTGTCATTAAAATTGTTTGAAATAAGTGACAAAGAGAAAGTCAATTGTACAAGCAAGTTCAAGTAATTGCAGAGGTTTTTTTTCTCTTTATTGTTTAACAAGTATGCTGTAAGTGTCATAGGGTATTATGCATTTTCATGGATGAGTATATGCTCTGAGCTGTCCTGGAAGACTGCAGAAATTAAGCAGTTGAAATAGGAGACTGTTTTACATAATGTACACTAATTAGAAAGCATTATGGGATGCTTAGGACGAGGAGTATAGTAACAAAAAGTAAGGGATGAGAGATGACGGAACATAATTGTCAGGATTCGACAGGAGTGTTCCTGCTTGTTTTTAAGCCTTGAGCAAGGACCAAATTGTAAAATGCCATGATTTTATTAACCTTTTTTTTTTCCCATTCTATTTTTTTCTTGTAAAGCTGGAAAGATGGCCTTGGATTATGTGCACTTATCCACAGACACCGACCTGATCTTATTGACTACTCCAAGCTAACTAAGGTCATCAGTCTGGGCGGTACAGCATGCTGTTCTGCAGTGATTTGGCTCACTACCTGTTTGCATAGCATGTTTGCTAAAAGACAAGCTGAGGGGTGCATACTAATGCTGACTGGCTTCCTAAGCTCCCTCCAGAAACAAAGTTATTTGGAGAAAGGGACCCCTTGACTCTCCTGTGTCCTTTTCTCCTTGCCACTACAATGGCTGCAGGATGTAATTGCAATTAACCTGGTCGTCAGCTGCCAGGAAGTTGATGAAGTTTTTTGTGCTGCACAATACTGGTATTAAATCAAGTACACTGGAATTCTCCATTCAGAGCTGATAATACTGTGCAGTCCATCCTGTTTTATGTCCAGTGTAAATGACTCTGTAGATTGCAAAACAGTAAAGTAGCAGGCTCATCATGATGATTAATCATAAGAGTCCTCAGAACAAACACTGCCCTTGGTAATCAGGAGTATGCAATAAATTACTAGGCTTATACATTAAATTCACAATGGAAATATTCATCACTTTTTACTTTTCTTTTTTATTGTACTTCTATTGTACCCAGACAAGTGCAAACAAAACTGATAACACTAACTTCCTTAGGTAATACTGCATGGGGAATACAAAGCTGTTGTATTATTGTGGCACATTTTATTACTCATGTACAGATCATGATCTCACTTCTGAGAGACGCCTTTACATTGAGCAGGAGGAATGAGGGACAAGTAATAATATCCAAATTTTTCAGTTCCATTACTGAAGAATAAAACCAGGAAATAAAGTGAAATGTTGTAATTTCATACTAGCTCTCATTGCATAAATACCATTTTCTATTATCTGGAATCAGAATGTATCTTGAAGTCTCCCTAAACACCAGTAAAACAGAAAGTTTAATCATGATTTTATTTTGCTCAATGTTGCTTTTCATTGGTGAGAGCGGTAAATCATAGACTGCATTTTCCATTCCCCGCTCCTCCACAGCAAATTGATTTTACCAGTGGAATTGACTGTTACCAGAAAACTTTTGAGAAGGGAGAAAAATGACAACTGAAATGAAATGATTTGAAAACCTTGTCTGATTTATATGTATTTAAAAATTATGCGGAGCCTCCAAGGTGGACAGTGATGAAAATCAAATGAATTTATTCCTAAACACATAGAAGTTCATTTTAAGCAATTGTAAAGTCTTCATTTGAAGCTTATTCTTTCTTGTTTTACTGAGGGGAGGAGGAGAAGTAGTTTTTGGCTCCTCAGCTTTCTGCAGCCATGGTGTACTGTTTGGATAGGCCCTCCCTGCTCTTCATGCAGTGACCTCCACCTGCAAACCTGAACTGAAGGGCAAAATATTAGCCATCAACACTCAGTTAGTCTCTTATTCTATATATATTCCTCCCTGTGAGTAGAGAGAGCCATGGAATGTACAAGATTCCTGTCTCTGTGTAAATATTCTGAAGCATGGCACAAATGGAAGTAAATTTGTTTAAGTTTGTGCTTTGAAAAGTGGTACGCAGTACTAATAATCTTCACAGTAAAACCATCCTACTTATGTGTGCTGAAACAAAGTGGAATAGAACATAAGAAGATCTGCTTCAGCATCACTATTTCCCTCTTGGAGATTTCCAAAATAAAAGCAGGTCAGGTTTCAAACTGAGACTGAGCTGTGGCACGTAAAGCACATGCAGAAAGATCCTAAAATAGATCTTGCTTTCCTGGCCTGGCTGTGTTTGATTGACTATTCATGTTGGTTGTATTAACAACTGTCTTGGCGTCTTGTTTCTTAGTTCGCTCTCTTCTGCATGCTGTCTTTTCTTCTTCTCACCATTGTGTTTTGTGTGAACCTGTAGCTGGAAAGATGGCCTTGCTTTCAACGCCCTTATCCATAGACACAGGCCTGATCTTCTTGACTATGACAAGTTAGATGAGGTATTTCTTTAGCAGTAGCAGAGAATTTTAGTTACTGTAGTTTTTAGTTTGCTTTAAAAGAATGGGTGATGGAGATCTCCAATTATTCAGAAGCTGGTGTGATTTTAATCAAATCCTTTCCCTGTGTAGCACTGCTTACCCATGGACTTAACACCAAGCGCACGAATAGGAGGTGCCCATCACTCATCCGTGAGAAAAATGTTTTACCCTAGTCAGTAGGTCTCACTTAGATCTCACTTCCCTGTCTATTTAAATGCAGTGTGATTTTTTTGTAGACACACCTAGTAAGTGTTCTGTTACACATGTATAATAGCAAAAATGAGTTTATATTGTCCTCATATTAATTCCTCTTATTTTAAGTGATGCTAAATGATGATAGAATGAGAATTTATGATTAGAGACTTGATATTCTGTTATACCCAAATTGTTAGGTCTCAAGATGCAAGCCTTTCTTCCTAACGTATTTTATTGAAAATGCAGTTTTTAAAGAAAAGCTAACTCATATAGTATGTTTATAGAAAGTTATACTATGGGCATTATTACTTATGATCTGAAAATCTATGTATGATCTACAATAAACCGATATCGATACCAAGTGCATGTATGTGCATGAAGAACAGACTGCTGTGAAACTTAACTCGTTGCTATAGCACCATAGTAAGTAGCCTTACTAAGTCCACTGCAAAGCAACAGAAGAATGCCCAAGAAAAGATCCTTCTGTAGGAAGGATTTGTATTCAAACTGAGGCCTGGGAAGTTCCGTAGAGAAAACCTGCTAATCTTTTTCTGATTCCCATCCAGATTTTCTAACTTTGCTTTTCTGTGTCCTGTTTTCCTCAGCTCTCTTTGTAGACATGGGCATTGCTCAGAGAGGCTGTGTTCGTTTAGCCGTTTCTGAAGACTTGAAAGTAATTGTAGCATTACTGGCATGAATTGCAGCATCACTTAGAATGTTTTCCTCTTCTTCAAAAACCAAAGACTCTATACCTATACATAAAA